TAATTATTACAAATTTCAGCAATGCTCTACTTCTTGGCATACAAATAATCTATAATGATATATTTTGTTATACAGTGTCCTTTTAACTGTAATTAATATACCACTTTCATCATTCTGCACCCATTAAAAATGTAAATGGAGTTCACTCACTAATCGGAACACTTGCATATTCTACTTAATTATTATAACTGAACGGAAGGTTTTGTCATTGTATCCTGTCTTTGATTTTGTACTTCTTGTTTTATAAGATGTTTCTGTTGCAGAACAGCTGTGCACATAAATTGAAAGTTATTTAAAGGGTGAAAGTATTATCTGAAAATTCTATTACATTCTCCCTTCAGGCTGCATTCACATAGGATACTTCAGGAATTTGAACTGTGCAAATTGTGGTATAGACTAACCAAGATTAAACATTATGATATGAATGAACTTGGACTAATATGAGAGTATATTAGAAGTATGTTCCAGATCTGAACAAATCATCAATCCACAACTATATTAGATTGAATATGGAAGATTCAGCAAATATCTAAATTGAAGCAGAATTATATCAAAGCAGATGACATCTGAATATGAAAACTTCTATTTAGCAATTTGGATCCATAGGGAAATAGAGGCACAGGAAATATGCTTTTGAAAATTAGTACATCCCCTCTTCCCACAAATCTCCACATAAGGGAGCAAAAATGAGTGGGGAGGCAGGAGGGGAAGGAAAGGAGGGGTGTAGTTTTAATGATAGAACAATACATATTTTTATTAGGGATTTCTAATCCCAGTGGTTTTCATAAAAATTGCTCAAAAAACAATGAAGGAAGGGGGAAGAATTCTGTACTTATTTTTTCAAAAATGTTCATATTGTATTTGATGATGAGCCCCACCTCATAATTCTGTATGCAATTTCATAAAAATTGTTAATAAGAGAAGAAAAAAATAAGTGAGATAACTGTGACCCTTTCAGGCATTTTTTGAGCAGAGTTGTTAAATGGCATAAATGGAACCATCACAATCATCGGGATGTTCTCCTTTTGAAAATTTATTTTTACTTCAATAAGGAAATGATTTTTTCAATAAATTATAGAATTAAGGACCTTAAACAACTATAATGGATGGAGCAGTGATTATATGTAAAACAAAATATATATATTTTATCCATGAAGGCCTAATTTGATAGTGTCAGGAATCCTTATTGGTCACAAAGCAATTGTAAACATTAGGGCTACATCAGATTTTTAGCTTTCAGGTCACATCTAGTATATACTAGTGGTGACACATATGTGTGCCCATACATTTGTTGTTGTTTTTTCTTGTTGTTGTGTGCCTTCAAGTCATTTCTAATATATGGTAACTCTAAGATTAACCTATCATGGGGTTTTCTTGGCATGTTTCTTCAGATGGGGTGTACCATTGCTATCTTCTGAGGCTGAGGGAGTATGACATGCCCAAGGTCATCCAGTTGCTTTACCTAGTGGTCATCCATGGCTGAGTTGAGATTAAAACTGTGGTCTCCAGAGCTATAGTCCAACACTCAAACCACTATATCACAGTCTTACACATACATATGTGCATACATAAATATGTACATGCATACACAGTTATAATTCCTACTAATTTGGACATTTCTGCACATCCATACAGTATATTTTTTCATTCTCAAAAGAGTTTTCATGTTTGTGAGAATGGGTTGTTGTTTTTACAAATTATGAGAATTGTGCAAGTGATCTGATTGTACAAATGGTATCACCAAACTATGATGTCTGCTGTCGTGTTCTATGGTCATATTAAAAACAAGAAGCCCCAAAAGGGTCTTCTGCATCTTTTTGATCAAACAGACTGTCCTTCCATGCTTTCACTTTTTCTCTCTCTCTGTGTGTGCTTTATTTCACCAAAAGAAAATGCAATCATATTTTATAGATACATTTTTGTAAAAATTATAGAAACCATGATGAAAATGCTCCATATCTCATTTTCTCACTGGAGGGAAGAAGGTTCAGAGTGGTAGGAGATTTCTTGGCAAGATATCTTAAAGCACTGGAACATCCTTGTTAATTAAGAATAAGACATTTTGTGAACATTCCCCACATCCCTGATATCATATGCCTATGTGCTATGCTGTTATTCATCTTATTTATATCCTACTTTTTCCTGAAAATTGGGACTCAATGCAGCCTACAGTTTCGAAGTAAATGAAGGGCTGTTGCAGACTGTCCCAAAGGACCAGCCTGGGGGTAGATTTGGGTGGGGCAGCTGCACGCTGGCCACTCCAACCTCACCCTGACACTGTCCTGATGCCGCATGGCTGTCCACATGGTGCACAGCATCAGGATGCCCTTCAGGTGCAGCGTTTAAACATGCCGAAAGGGCACTGAAGAGCTGTGGTACCAGCTCTTAGGGCGGCCTTTTGCTGCCCCTAAAAGGAGAGGCATTTTGCCGCTCTTTGCCTGAACCCTTCCTAGAAGCCAACATGACTAAAATGAGATTGTCATACTTTGGATATAACATGAGAAGATATAACTCACTAGAAAATACAGTAATGCTTGATAAGGTGGAAGGCAGTAGGAAAAGAAAAAGGCCCATTGCTGATGGATAGACTCAATCAAGGAAGCCATGGTCTTGAATCTGCAAGACATGAGCAAAGCTATTAATTATAGGATGCCTTGGAGGTCTCTCATTCATAGGGTCACCATAAGTCAAAGTCAACTAGATGGCAGTTAACAGCAAGAGAGAGAGGCATACATGCAAGCTGCCTTAGCTGTTATTGTGCATCTACAATATGGTTGCCATTAAAGGAGTTACTAATCATCTAAGTTTGCAATATCTAGAAATTCCATATGCCAGTGTAAGTGCTATTAACTCTATCATATGCTTCCAACAGGATTCTGGGCAATATTTAAGAAAAAAAGTAGTGATATAAAAACAAATTGAATGTGTGTGACTTTGACTGCTCTCTATATGGAGAGAATCACATCATAACCCTCTGTCTCACTTGCTGCTAATGAGACACAAACAAGGGCTTCATTCCCACAAAGGTTTAGTTGCAATAAAGCAGTCTGGAACCAGGAACCCTGTTCTTCGTAATTTTTTTCTTGACAAGGAAGTGCTGCCGATGCTCTCCAGTTCCAGTTATTTCTTTAGGGCATCTTGAATGGATGATAGTGTCCTTAAGTATCAGTCCCCTAAAGGAGTATACATCCTGACAGAATTAGACTTCTCCCAGTGTTACATAACATCAGAATCTGGCCAGGGCAGACTCAGGCCCTTAGAGTCAGCCACCAAAGCCAATGCCACAAAGTTGGTGTCTCTTGCTGCTTTCTGGGGCTGGTTCAGCTAATTGTCTCCCTTGCTGGATTGCAGAGTTTCCCTAGTAAAGTCAGATAATGGCCCCTTAGAACTGCCTTGGGAAGTGAGAGAGCTTAACAAATGGGTTCTGAAGGGTGTGAGACTAGCTCTTGGGAAGAGGCTGTTGAGGAACTTTTGCTTGGCTCCTTCTCCCTCCCCCTCTCTGGAAAAACCTTTACCCTCCTCCTCTGGTTGCAGGCTGTTTCTAGGGATGCATCAACACTGTAGAAATAATGCTGTTTCACACCACTGTAACTGTCATGGCCTCATCCTACAGAATCCTGGAATTTGTAGTTTTGTAAGGCACCAGCACTCTTTGGCAGGGAAAGCTAAAGACCTTGTAAAAACAATAAATCTAAGGATTCTATGGGATAGAGCTATAGTGTGGTGTCAAACTGTGTTATTTCTACAGTGTAGATGCACCCTTAATATTCTGCCTTTGCCTCCTCCTGAAAAAGTCTTCCAAGCCTGTTAAATAAATTAACAAACAAATAAACCTATCACACTGGGCCTTCTTCCTCCATTTTTACCTTGTCAGCTTTTATCTCTGTCCCTACTTACTGAATTTACTGCATCTTTCTGTTGCTGAGTGTCTGGCTATCTGAACATTTGCCAGCATTCTGCTCTTCACTGCTCAGCCTGGTAGCTGGCAGCTTACTCGGTTTGATGAAGCAGCAAAAGAAGAGGATAGCAATGTGGTGCTTCCCACTATACCTTACAGTATGTTTAAACAAAAATAAAAAAAATTGATTAAGTCCAAGTGGTGAGGTATAGGTGAAGGGTCACTTGAATTTGTTAATACTCCAGAATTAAAAGCAAATACATTTCAACTGTATTATTTTTTTGTGTGTGTTTTTCAGGCTGTGTGGCCATGTTCTAGAAGAGTTTCTTTCTGACATTTCACCAGCATCTATGCCTGGCATCTTCAGAGAATATTGGAATGAAAGAGAGTGGGTCTATATATACTGTGAGACCCTGGGTAGGGAGGAGTGATTCCCATGTAAACTGTGTATTGTTCTGTGTTGAATAAGCATTGTTCTGTCATTAATGGCATGGCTTCAGGGTGGGAGGATATGCAAACAAAGATATTGTCTGCTGGGAAAGCCCCTGACCCTGGTTGGTTCCCCATTTGCATTTGCTGAGTGCTGATTTTCTTATTTTGTAGGACTGGTAGCCAAACCTTGTTTACTATAAGGGTTTCTTCTTTCCTGTTGAAGTTATCCAAGTGTTTGTGGATTTTGATGGCTTCCCTGTGTATTCTGACCTGATAGTTGTTGGCATGGTCCAGAATTTCAGTGTTTTCAAACAGCATTTTATGCCCAGGATGGTTTATAATGTGTTCTTAAAGTAAACAAGGTTTACTTTACCCTTAAAGGTCATTGAAAGTCACAAGAAACAATGTGCAAATCAAACATAATCTGTCTTGCATGTGCTTCAGGATGCCAAGGGCTCTCTTCTGCTCAGCAGAACATTTTTTTCCAGGATTGTTTTTTCCTTTGATGGCATATTTAGTGCGGAGAATAATATGCAATAACAAGAAGCCACTCATAAGCATTTGTACATGCAAAGATGTGCATTTTCTCACTTTTTTCTATTTGCATCTCTGTTACCGTCACTTTCAAACATAATACAATATTTTCTAGAGGTATATGGGAAAATGGAGAGCCAGCATGGTGCAGTGGTTTGAATGTTGAACTACAAATAAGGAGAACTGGGTTCAAATCCCAGCTTGAACATAGAAATCCACTGAGTGACCCTGGGCAAATGCAAACCCCCTCTGAACAAATCTTGCTAAGAAGACCTCATGATAGGTTTGCATTAGGGTCACAATAGGTCAGAAATGACTTGAGGCCACACAACAAAAACAATGTATGAAAATAGCTATGGAAATTTCCAGGGTAGTGGATCTTTCTTGCTTGGCTTGAGATTTCATTGACACCAATTTGTGATGATGCTTCTCCTCTGGAACAGGGAAAATCTGGTACCAGTGGATTCCACCACAGATTAACCAGATTTCCTAGTCTCAAGCATGATAACAACACCAATCCCTATCCCTACAATTTATTGTTGGCTATGAACTTTGAAGACCAGAGGCCTAAGGTATTATTCACACAGTATATGTTTTAGGAAGAACTTGTAAATTGAAACAGCTTTGCTAACCTTCACTATCTCTGGGAACTCCATGTGTCTGATTATATGATGGTGATGTTATATGTCTGACTCTATTATGGTACATCTTGCTGCCAGTCAGTGACAACACCTTTTTTGTTCCACAGATGTGCATACTGTATGATATATGAACAAGACATAAGGAACTCAGAAACTTGCAGCTCTTGAGAAAATATGTCCTATCAATTTATCTGACTCTTCAACCACTCTAGAACAAATGTGAGGGAGGATGTAGACAGGCAGCTGTAGGTTGCCCTGGGAAGTGGAGGATTGGGGCCGAGGCTACCTGTCCTGGACTACGGCCAGCACCAGTCCAAACAAACGCTGATAAGAATGGTTTAAAAAGGAGGGAGCTAAAAGGCAGGCTACAGTCCTTTATGTTAGTTCCCAAGAAGCACACCAGTACCAAAACCAGGGTCAGGATTC